TACATTGCACAGACGTATACAAAATGAAAAACAACAAAAAAGAGCGAGAAAAGAAGTAGAGAGCAGAAAAAAAACACAACCCAGCTATATATCGTCTTTCGAAATCGTTTTTCCTGAATTGCACAAAATATAATAAATTATTTCGTATAAATCACTAAAGTACCAAGCGTTCTTCTTCTTCTTCCTCTTTTTTTGAAAGAAAAAAAAAACGACGAATAAATTGTTTGAGACAAAGAATAACGATTTCCCTTCTGCCAAGTGTGCAGTTCAAATTTCTCCGAACGGCAAGCAGAAAAAAAAACATCACGTCACACATAGAGACACTTTTTTTTTTGCTTTGAACGTCCAGTGAAAGGATATTGGATGAATAGGATTCACTTGGTGCCGTTTGTGAATAGCAGTGAATAGTAGTGAATGAATGAAGTACAGCTCTGAAAATAAATAAAAATGGCATAGCACCTTCCACTTGAATCGATCAACATTATGGACATAAAGTTGATGCAACGACAGAATGAAATTAATTCCTTCGACGATGCGTTTTCTTCTTGTTGGGTCCAAAGCGCAACTCAAACGAGAAATTCTCTCTTGAGAACGAGAGAAAAAACAACGAATGAGAATAAAAAAAAAGTTCACCAGAAAAAAAAAACCGATGAAGAAGAATGTTTGATGTGCACAATGGTGAAAAATTGATCGAAATTGTCAGCGCGCTCCGTGAATGAGACAAAGAGTGAATTTAATTAATTGGCGCATTGGCAAAATGAATCTTTTCTTTCTCTTTCCCTCTATCCCATCTTCATTTACTGACGATTAAGTTAAAAAAAAAATTTTACTGTGGCCGAATAAATAGATGTGTGATTATCAAATTACACTGAGTTATGTGTTGTTTGTTTAACGGATATGCAAGACGCGGTCGAGCGCACTTTGCTTGGCAATCTGTATACGTATATATTGGCACATGAGCAAAGCAGAACAAGGCATAATCAGCAACCAATACACACTGTGCTAACCATCAAGCAAGAACAGCCGAAGAAGACGACGACGACGACGAAATACACATCATCAACGAAACGAAGAAAAAACAACAGAAAATAAAACGGCACCACAACACGATATCTGATTAAAACGAAAGCCAGCCAAGAAACGAATAAATAAAGAAATACGCATATTAATATATTGGGTTCCAAACGTTCCATCTCTTCTTCTTCTTCTTCTTTTCTGTGTAAATTTAAACGCTGGATTCGGTTGTGTTCTTTTTTTTAATTCTCTCGCTCTTTTTTCACTGCTCCACTCGCGCGCTCGCTCATTCTTTCTCTCTTTTATTTGGCACCGTAGTTCACAGCACGACCAATGAAAAAACAAAATAAAACGGGCAGCCAGAGGAGAGTGGAATAAGAGAAAGAAGAGAAAAAAAATCAACGTGAGCGAATCAACAACAAAACACTGGGAATCCAGAGATATGAGATCTTGTTAAACGAATTTTTAGTATGAGATGGTTAAGATGGTTATGTTTTAATTTATTGGTAGAAGGCAACAGTATGAAAAGAGAAAAAAAAATTAAAATAACACGTAAGCCGAACCAAATGTGGCAGCATGAGCCAAACAGACACACACATATTCATGTGTGTTTGTGTGGAAGGAATCAAGACCAGTGAGAGCGCGAGGGAGAAAGAGAGCGAAAAAAAACACCCATCGCAGCGACAAGAGAGCGGAAAAGCATGAGCAAGAAACCAAGATGAGGATAAAGAACACAACATTCGAGCAGCATGCACAAAACTAAAATAAGAAAATACAACATTCACGGCAACAACACACCAAACACAGCCAAATGAAAGCAAAAACAACAACTGCAAACATCGCGCCGCTCGGCTCATATTGAACTCAATACTCGATGTCTCAAAAATGAAGCGAATCGAGAGAGAGAGAGAGAGAGATAGAGAGAAAAGCACAGCGAACAGCGAAAAATAACGAGAAAAAAAACATTATATGTGTATCGGGTATAAAGTGAAACGACAAATGAAACAACAAGCATATCGTATCGCTAACTACTATCTGAAAATGCAGCTTCAGGTGAGTTCGTGAATATCGAAGTGTGTGCTATGGTTTAATGTCTACATAGAAATATCTGCCGTGCTTTTGGCACACTGTGTCTTGTTGCTGCTGCTGCTGTTGCTGTTGCTGTTGCTGTTGTTGTAATGTATATATTTTTTGCTCTCTGTTCTGTATCACTTGGGTTATATTTGTTTTTTCTTTAAATTTCATTTGCCAGATTTGTGTTGTTCATTACCCGAGTGCACGCTGAATTTTTGTGCAGATTTGACTTGCACGGCAGCAATTCTCGGCTCGGCGCGGCTCGTTCGCTCGCGCACATAGTCCACTCACTCTCTTCTACACCAACTGACAGCCGAGAGATAGAGAGAGAGAGAGAGAGAGAGAGAGAGAGCCTCGACAACGGTTTGTTTTTGGAAAACAAACAAGGCAGATACAATTTTCGGATGGCGAACACAGAACAACAACAACTGAAAAATCAACAGCACAGCCAATGCTGTTCTGTCTGAAATTTAAGTATTTGGCGTTGAATGAGCGCGAGCGCGCGCTCGCGACACTGCACGATTTCGCCCAAATCGTACTGTATGTGAAATCTGAAATTATCGCATCGATCTGTCGGTTGTGTGTGTGTGTACGGTCTCTGTCTCTCTCTCTCGTCCCTTGTCTTATGCTCGATTTTTGCTCACGACTTATACGCGATGTCGTTGTGGGTTTTTGGCTGGTGTACACTGCTATTTGGTTCGATTGATTGGTGCATTTGGTTGTAGTAGAAATGAAAACAAACAACAGAGAAAAAAATAACCAAAAAGATACCAAAGATCCATGCAAAAAGTGCTAGACTAAAGAATAACCTTTCGCGGTGGCTTTCAAATGGGAAATCTTGAATGAAAGCCATACCACACGATACTTTTCTTTCACGATCACAATTGCTACCTCTCTTTTTTTGCTGATTCCATTCCAACAAGCGCTGTGCTTATCGCATGCTGCTGCCGATCATATTATTCACTGATCGTGTTTGTATTGCCATTAATATGACTTGTTTGTTTATTGTTGGCTATTAATTAAAATAAATATTTTTTAATTAAATTCTTATGTCCAAGCAAAGCCAACGCAGCCGCCACCGCCGCTGCTGCTGCTGCTGTCGCTGTCGCCGAATACACGAAACAAACCACCAAAGAATATGGCAAGAAGACCAATGAAGTAAAAATGACAAACCAACAAACACTCGTTATGCGTCGCGTATAATGAAAACAAGATTTCGAATAATTTATGGACATCGATTTCATGCCAAGATCAATTCAAATTGAAATAACACACAACAGTTATATCCAAATACAAAATTGAGTCGAAATGACTGTGTCTGTGCGAACGCGCGCGCGCTCACTCGCCTTTGGTCGGTCCAGAATGAAATATATATATATACATACGGCAACGATCGAAATTCATTTGTCGACGTATTTTCCATAGCATGGATATGAAGTTAACCATCGCAAGTCTCTTAATTACTCACGCAGATATTTCTTGATGGATTAACAACGATGTAGCAGCAGCACATACATTTTTTTTTGGTTATTATTAATTTTCAATCAGGAAAAAAAGAAGATATTTTTCTCAAAAACTAAAGCATGAACAATTGATTTCTTTCGTCTCAGAAACCGAAAGAACGAAGAGGTAGAGAGAGACAAGGGACAAAAAAAAATTCATTATTTATGTGCGGCTGCATCATTCTTTATCGAAATCGATGTTATACAATGTGTGATCGATTTTGTTTTCTTTTTGATTTCGGTTTTCATAGATCGATCAATGATAACAAGTTTCGAACAAAAAAAAAACGATAGAAACAAGTCAACAGCAAACGAACGAATGAAGGCAACACGAGACACAGACGAGAATAAAGAAGAAACGAATGACTGAAGAGAGAAAGAAAACACGTTACCAAAATTAAAAGAGGCAAACAACGGTGGCAAATAAACAACATTCCTCGAAAGGAAAATCAAAACGACACTTTAAAAGAAAACATGACATCCTCAACAGAAAAATACAACATGATGTTTGCATTATTTACATGTACTTTTAGGTTGAAATGTTTCTGTTATGCGCTTTTTTTTCGTCATCGGCAGCGTCGTCGATGTTCAGCTGAGATTCTTTGAGCTACCAAAACGTGATGTCTCAAAGTGGATATATCTCTTTCTCGAATGAAAATACAACGATGTTCAAAATTGATTTCATTTTTTCTGCTTGCCTGCCCCTCTGTCTCTGTTTCCAGGTTAAATGCATTTCAATAAATACATATTTCAAGTCACACACACACACACACACACACACACACACACACACACACACACAC